TAAAAGAGCCAAGGTTGCCTACTCCTGGCCTAAAAGTATATGTTCAAGATTGTGGTTTTTGTAGATTCATTTGGAATGAAACTTGCAAAGGGCACATTCAGAAGCAGAGGTTCAAGTTAAAATTTAATTTAATATTTCAGAAAGTAAAAAAAAATGTACATATCTTGGGGCCCTTCAGCTAAATTGGTCTCAATTTCCATAAAATGTTTTTCAGGATAGTCATCCAGTATGCTTGAATTATCCAACATGCCTGAAAAAAGGTATGTTGGATGGAGAAAGCTAATGTAAAATCTTGCTTTGGAATTTTTTTAGTGAAAAAAGCAGAAGAAAAATGAAACCAAATCAGTTAAAACAATAGCAGCAATTAAATGCTGTTTTAAAAATAAAAGACATTCAGTGACTTGGACGAATCATTTTTCCTCAGCCCAACTCATCTTACTGGGGTTGCTTTGTAAAAAAAATATGAAAAAGGAGGAATATATAAATCAAATATATAAGAGATATTTAAAAATTGCTTGTAATACCAATAGTCACACAATTCAATAGTTATTAAAAAAACAAAGCTTCTTGTTGCACAATAAAAAAGTGCAAGCAGGTAGCAAAGAAAGATTAAAAGATTATTAAAATAAACAGTCAAAGATCAAAGACAGAAGTTCAGAGAAAAAAAAAACATAGCTCAGATGTTCAATAAAAGCCTATTAGTGAACAAACTAAAAACACCAAAAGAAACTACAAGGTCCAAGAATTTCTACTCATGCTGTGATACAAAATTTGCCCATAGTTCTAGAGCTTTCCTGATCCTGATTAGAAGGTAGTGACTTTGAATTGTTTGTAATAGGGGAGATTAAATCTACTTCCAAGAATGATATATAAGACAAGTATATGCACTAGTATCTCAATTTTGAACAAATAGATAAACACACTTGTGCTTACCGTTGAGGGGAAAATACTACCGAGCAGACTGTATCCAAATGTGCCAATAGGAAGGCTACCCTGTGAAGTGGGACCAGTAAATGATACAAATATTTGGGAATGGTAAAAAGAGGAAGTATGAGGATATTGTGGCAGAGATTTGAAATTTTGATTTTGTCTCTTTGTTAATTAAGATCTAAAATTATTTACCTAAGCTCTATTCAGGTTTCATCCAAGTCTAATATGGATACAGACTTGGGGATAAGTCACCAGTAAGCCAGTCGTTCATTGTTTGTTTCTTGCAAGGAGACTGGTATCTGTCTGTCAAAACTAAGAAGGCTAAACATTTGTATTTGCCACCCCCACCCCCACTCAAATTTATTTAAGCAAAATTTCAACAGGCAGATTTGTAACTAAGTCTTGATTGAAATGCAGCAAAAAAGTGCATTTCAGAAAATGAGCATTAACAAAGCTGGGGATTCAAAATAAGAATATCAGAAATTTAAATTTAAAAAGATTCCTATGCATGGATGCATCTGTAACTGCAGCACTGTGCACCATATAGCAAAAGACATAACACATTAGCTTTAAACGCATGGTTGTCAGCTTACAGAATGAATATCTAATAACTGTTTAGGTACTGTTTGTGCTTTTCTGCTTGAAGATGGAAGCATCCTAGAAAAAGATGTCTGGAAATAAAGGCTTTATAAATAATCTGTTAGGAAAGGAGGATTTCTGTAGAGCAAAAATTGTGCAATAACACATTGAATCAAGTATTTTTTTTTTCCTGCTCAGTTTAATAGTTGGCTTGTCTAGATTTAAGAAAAGAAAGACAAGGGATGGCTTGATTCATTATTCTTTGGGTCAGCAATAACCAGTGGAACATTACTTCTTTTAGTTTAGATGTATTAGGATTGCCTTAGTTTTCACCAAAAGGATTGATCTGAAAGTCAATGTATGATGTATTTCAGATTAATGTATTTACATCGTTCATTCTATCCTCAAATTAATTTTGTTTAAGTACATTTTGATATCTTATTAAGGAAAAATATTATTCTTAGTTTTTCCCCCTCTTTCATCGCTCTGTTTTTATTAGATATGGTAATTTTTACATCTAGTGCTAAGCAATTGGTCTGTTTCTCTGGATCATTCAACAACTGCGACAAAAGGAGATTGTTAAAGATATATACAAAATGGAAAATGTGCTTGTTTTGAGCTATGAACAAAAGAGTCTCACTTGAAACGTTATGCCAGAATAGTCCCAGTTGGCTGTTTTCTGTTTTCGATCAGAACAAAACCCAAATGAGTCAAAGTGTGTAATTCCAGCCTCAAAACAAACTCTTGAATATAAAGGCTCCATTTCACGTATGGAACAGTTGAATGACTAATTTCAAGTTTATTTTTTATGTCTAGAACTTTGAAGACACCACTGCTTGAAACAGTCATTATCTTCTAATGTTGGAACCAAACAGAGAATTTTGTTATGATCTCAAAACAACATTCTCTGTATGTAAATGTGTTCAGTTATGACCTTGAAAGAAAATTCTCTGAACACATGAGCTTTATTTCAAGGCATAATACTAAGAGCTTTTACAAGATCAGAACATTGGGAATAATGTTATCAGTTGTCATTAAGAAAAAGTAATTTATTCACCAGAAATCTCAGTAGGTACAGAAAATACTGTTTACATAACTTCTTGTAATATTTTACTCACTTGTTAGCTAACATTCTCCAAAGAATGAACAAAGTGCAATCAAGTAGATGGAGATAGTTCATAATATTTTTTCCTGAATTCTAGAATTAAATTATGATGGATTTTTTTTTCCTCAATTCCCAACGAACTGAGTTGTTCCAGCTACCGGTATAACCAGTGATCAATAGTGTCAACATTTGTTCAGAATACTAATAAGATCAACATAGTGATATTCTCCATCTTTGTCATCTCATAAAGAGCTTCAGTCAGGGTTTTGCTTTGGTTTGTTTGATTTGTGCCTTCAAGTCAGTATTCATTCCTAGAGACTACCTGGACAAGTCTCGGGAATTTTTGTGTGGTAAGATTTTCAGCAGAGTTTTGCCTTACCTTCTAAGAAAGAATGACTGACTCAGAATAGCGTCATGCCCAAGGGAGGACTAGAATTCATGATTTCCCAGTTTGTACCCTGATGCCTTAAGCCCCATATCAAACTGGCTCTCTCAGTCGGAGGAACCAAGATCATTTTAGTACCATATCCAATCCTGAAACAGACCCAGCTTCATCTAGATAATCCAGTTTTCCCCACATCCATTTGGAATTGGATGGGTAGTATCCTCTCTATTATTGTTCCTAATAAAGACAAATTTACAAATAGTGATAGTTATCTTAAAATCAGATGGTTCATTAAGGATCTCTTTGAGAGAGGCCAGTGGGTATAAATCTGCCATGCCTCTTATATGAAACAACCTTGATTACCCTCACTGAAGATCTGTACCAGATGATAAATTTTGAAAATGTTGCCGATTTCCTCAGCATCCCCAAATTGTTTATGTATGGTCAAGATGCTACCATAAACTCAGCATAACTGCCATGTCTAATTTGAAGTGGATGCAAGCAATACACTTTCAGTGTTCTTTGCAAATTTATTGTACCAGTTTGCTGAGTAGTCAACTGAGTTCATTTCTGGGATAGCTTTGAGCTGTCTGCCAAAGTCTGCAAAAGGTCTAATAGGATAGAATGCAATAATGGTGGAGAAATAAACCTTCTTTGACCCATCCTTACTACAGACAGACATAGTTATGTAGTCTTTTTGTGCTTGGGTATTTTTCTGCAAGTTTATTTTGGATTCACTCTAGACAGTTGCCACTTCTCTTTATTGTTTGGAGCTGCTCATAAAGCCAGACAATTTTTCAAGCTTTCCTTAGCTATCGAGGGCAGTCAGGAGCAATAGTGTCAGGGGCCTTTTTCAATGCCACACTGAAACAGGGCCTTAACAAAATTGCTTTCTGTGTTACCTGAAATATCCCTTAGATCAGGGGTAAGCAACCTCAGCTCTTTTATGACTCATGGACTTCAACTCCCAGAATTCCTGAGTCAGCTATGCCATGAGTCATAAAAGAGCCAAGGTTGCCTACCCCTGCCTTAGATTATTTGGGGATCCCAAGTCTATGGATTATAAATTACCTAGGCAAATGATTTAAATCATTTGGTTGATTAAGCTTTTCATCTGTATTAAGACATAACATTTTAACTGGTTCTGGTTAGTATATTCAAATGAGAATCATGAAATGTGAGAGAGAAAGCAATAAGTATTGTGCTAATGTAGGATAGGTCACATCTGGAGGTACTGATGTCTAGAGAACTAATCATAGGATACTGTGTCTTACTTTTCCCAGCATCCTTGGTGGGCTGAATAGATGTTCACAGAAGAAGAAATTTAATTTACAAAGATAACTGCATCTCCAGACTTCAAGGAATGTCAGAAAGAGCTGCTCTTTTTGTCTAATTAAGCCTTTTCTAATGTGGTGCTTTTTAGATGTGTTGAACTGTAATTCACATAATCTCTAGTTATGCAGTGTATGTTTTTGAATTCTTTGACAAGAAATCTTTGTTTCTGTTAGAAGCCTGAAAAAATTCTTTATAGAAACAACCTTTTCAATCATAATTTGTGTACTTGATTGAGCTAAGTGCAATTTTGTATTAGATACATTGGAATATATAGATAAAATAAAATATTATTATTAATATCTAGAAAATTATATTCCCAAACTTTAATCAAATAGTGTTGATTCTTAAAGAGAAAACAATATTTATGGATAATTGCTTATATGGTACTCTGTAGCCATTATTCCATGCTTTCTCTTTTAATTAAATAAAGTGTTTTTAAAAATATGAGATAATATTATTGTAGTATTGATAGAGACTGGTGCCAAATATTTTTATATTTTCTATTTTGGAGGATAACACAACATTTATTTTTTAAAACAGTAATTTTATAAACAATGGTGGTCAATTGAAGAAGTACCCTTTGGTTTGGTTTGGTTATTTCAAGTAGCAGAATAAAAAATAGTAAAATTTTCAACCTATTTTTCCCTCTCTCTTCTATCATTTCAGGACTATACTTTGACCATGTACTTTCAACAAGCATGGAGGGATAAGAGGCTTTCGTATAATGTAATACCTTTAAATCTTACACTGGACAATAGAGTAGCAGATCAGCTTTGGGTTCCTGATACCTACTTCCTGAATGATAAGAAGTCATTTGTACACGGTGTCACTGTGAAGAACAGAATGATTCGTTTACATCCAGATGGGAGAGTTCTCTATGGTCTCAGGTCAGCATTAAACATTTTGAACGGTGGCATTTTGTATATAAACCAAAAGACTAATTCCCCTTTCCTTTTCTTTCTCTAGTTTTCTTTTTTATGTAGGTTGTGTATAATTTTGCCAGCTTCCCTCAGCTTTGTGCTCATCAAAATGGTTGGCACTAAAGCCCCATATTCTGAAGGTCATTATGGCATTTTCAATCCAACTCTTTAGGAGAGCACTAGACTGAGGAAGGCTAATATACAGTAGGTCTTGTAGCAAAACTAAATGGCTTAATTACAAACAATGCAAGTCACTTTAGTGAAGAAACATTTTATAGACATGTACAATTCCATATAAAGATTTTTGCTTAACGATTGAGGGGGAGAAAGAATACTAGGTCTCATCTTTATTTTTTACCTATATTATTGCCACTTGCTTCCAAAATATTAGTTTTTTCTGTGCTAGTATATAAGTAATGTTTAAAAGGGAATAAAAATGGATTGGAAGATGATACTTCTTTTTCCTTTAAATGGTTCTTGTTGCACAATAAGAAATTGCAAAACAGCAACAGCAAACCAAAATGTATATGTAACAGCTGAAAATAAATATCAGAATTATACTGTGGCAGAATATTGAGAGTGGTTTGATGTCTGTGAATTTCAAGATAAGAATTCTGCAGCAAAGATGCTTTGTTGTTACAAAACAGTAATATATATATTCATCCTTGGGAGGTTTTTTTTTTTTATAGTGTCAAGAAAATATTTTTTAACTCATTCTTTTGCCTTTTCATTTGCCGAGAAATGTTCCCTACATTTGTACTTTCCAACATGGTATGAAAATTGTACCTGGGAATAATTTGAAATTGAAGATTGTACAACAGCCAAGAAAGTATTTAGCATTTCTTGACCTGTCTTGTTTCTAAATTTAAACACACACAGACACACACACACACACACAGACACACACACACACACACATACACACACACAAAACATTTTACAGATAAGAGTTGTGTGGATTATCAGACCTGTGTTTGTCAGAAAACATTTAAGTGAGTCACAAAATAATTCAGTGTAAAATCTTTACATAAATCCACCTATCTACATTGACTTGTAAAAACAGAAAAGTAAACTTTTATATATAGGAAGAACCATCAGAAAAGAGAAAACTTGGTTTTTTGTGTGTAGTAATTTCTTCATGCAGTGATTTAGCATTTGACATACATGAACTTTAACGGGTTTATGAAAGCTGGGCAAAAGAGAAAAAAAGAAACATTTTTTTAATCCATCTAATCTAATCTAATCATTAAAAAAATATATTAACAAGGCAGATTAAAAACTTAATCTTTTCTAAACCTCTTCCCATCAGATTGTTGTCCAGATGTGTTAGATTTCAGCAGTCACAAATGCATTTCCTCTGGGAATTGTGGAAGTCTGACACATCTAAAGGACACCAGATTGGATAAGGTTGATTTAATTCTCAGAAGCACTGCCATCAAAGTGACTACTAATTTATATGACCAGAATGATCTCCTTAAGCTAAGTTAGAGAACTAGTTTTGTTGTAATGGTTCAGGCATCAGGCTTGATACCAGGAGACTATAAATTGTAGCCCTGCCTTAGGATTAGATCAGTGTTTCTCAACCTTGACAATTTTAAGGCATGTGAACTTCAACTCCCAGAATTCCACAGCCAGCAAGTCCACATGCCTTAAAATTGTCAAGGTTGAGAAACACTGGATTAGATGAAACCAACTGGGTGATCTTGGGCCAGTCACTCTCAGTCAGCCTTAGGTAGGAGACAGTTGCAAATCATTTGCCAATAAAACTGCAGGGACTAGTCCCAGGACCCAATACTGACTTGAAGGCTCACACAATACCAACTAAGTCCAATGTCAAAGCACTTCCTTGTAATATCAGTGTTATATTTAAAGACAATAACATTCAAAATTCCAATATTATTGCAAAGTACTGTTGAAAACAGCATGATTTATATCAAAACAAGTTTGGAATCAGGTTTTCTGCATTTAGTATTTAGATAGCTTTTTCTTCCTTAAACATTTTTTTTTAAACCCCTTGTTAGAACTCAGCCAAAGCTTTGATGTGGAACATGAATGCTATCCGTGGCAAGGGGCATTTCCAGTCTGCTTTAAGAATAATCAATTAAAAACATTGCAATAAAATATTTTTGCAATCATGTTTTGGTGTTGGTCATGGTATACAATTAGGAGGAAAAGAATGGGAATACAATTATATAACAGTATACTGTAATTAAATTTAGACATATATGTTTCTTCTTTACTTTCCATCCAAATGTCTGAGTGACTTCCAGTGCCCTGTATACTGCCACATATCTGTGCAGATCTCATATAATGTATTAGAATATCAGGACACCACTTCCTTTTAATCTGCCAGATGTATGAACAGATGGGAAGTATGTTACAGGACCAGAGGGAGATGTCAAAATTCAAACCACAGGGAAAGGAACAACATGCAGACTTTTCTCTTCTTTTTCTTTTACCATTATATAAAAATATACTGTAGATATTGAAAGATCACACTGATTACTAGATTAACGTTTGTTTTTTAAGCAAAGTGTCTTGGAATGTGTAACGAAAATAGCATGTTCCTTTCAGCTTTTATTTGCTTTGTGAGAATAAATGTTTGAATACAATTTTTTTCTAGAAAAAAATCTGATTCTTTTTTAGAAAGTATCTGAAATCCGATTCATATTTGAGAGCAATGAATTAAAGGAACCAGTGAGGTATTGAGGTGGTTCTGTTATTAATGTATGCTGTTCTCTCTCTGCTCAGTTTTTTATTTTTTTAGTAATTGTTATTATATATTAATTGTTTTAATTGTATTGTATGCCATCCAAAGTCATTTTTTCTTGAGATGGGCAGCAATATAAATTTCATAAACAAATAAATAAATAACTCTTTATATTTTTGGAGAATTTTTTAAATTGATTCGAAACAATTTAAGATACCTCATTTTTTTTACTTCTTTCAGTAACTTAAACTGAGATTAAGTGGCCTTCCTGATGCTATTCAAATAGTGAGTGAGTTAAGATTTGAGTCAACAACCTCCATACATATTAATACTATAAACCATAAGAATGCGGACATTATATTTTTTATTAACATTTGTAAATAGCAACATGATTTCATTTATGAGTAAATTAATATTTAGCTAAGAAAAAAACTAATATACTGTATATACTAATCACTTTCTCTTTCACAATTTTTTTTAATTTAAAAATATAATTATACCCTCACACATACTTAGATATTATTTTTATTTAATTGTTTGGAAGTTAATCTAAAGTTAGTGTTCAGAATAGTACATATTTGTTATTATGATCACTAAGCACAGTTACATAATTTATAGTAGGATTTACAGAGCTCAGATGAAAATACATAAAATTACTAATTTAGGGAAAAATTAAATGTAGCAATAAAATACAAGGAATAGTGCTGAAAGATTAAATATCCGAAACTAAATAACTAAATTATAAAACTATTTTGCAATATACATAAAAGAAAAATGCTCAGTTGTAGAAGAGTAATTATAATAAACCTATTATAAAATAACATAAAACTTCAAATAGAATTTCAAATTACATGATTTGTTTCTCATCAGTATTGTCATGTTTCACTATCTGTTTCCTAGTGATACAAGCTCTTGAAACATAATCTGGCAACAGTTCATAGTGATATCATCATTATAGTGTGCTAAAAGCAGGGTTCAATATAATTTCATCATAAAATTTCATCATAAAATCATTACAACAGCATGGGGTCAAGAGAGCCATGAGTGTCAGGAACAAGACTGTCTGAAAAATGAACATATTGGTAACTTTGTTCCAGCACAGTTGAACACAGTATGTTAAAATATTCTGGGCCCTCTAGGGTAAAAGCCCTATCATATTTTTTTTAGTAGCTAGATTCTATAGATATTTAGCCAGGATCAGAGGTTTACTTAGGTTCCATTACTGAAAAAGAGAAAATCCCTAGTATTATCTCTATGTTAATGAAAATCTATTATTTTCTATCTATGTCTATGGAGATTCTCAGTCATCCAGGTCATAGTTATCCCAAAGGAGCTTTTTCACGAGGCAACTGGACTCTTTTTTCTTTGAAGACATTTTGCTTCTTATCCAGGAAGCTTCTTCAGCTCTGACTGAATGGTGGAAAATGGAAAGATTTATACTCCTTGCAGAGAGCTGGTCATTTTCATTCTTTTAGAAAGTCATTGAGACCACCTGGAGGTTTATCTGTTTCATCAGGATCACCTGAGTAGTGCAAATGGGTGTGGAGCCTTCTTGGACTGCCGAAAGGACTATGTTGTAGACTGGAGATAGATGATGATTTTCAAAATTGAACAGCCCTCTCTCAACAGAGGGGAAGGGATATGACATCATCTATCTCCAGTCCACTGGTCTTTGGAGTTTTTACTTCTCTTTATTATTAACATTTTAATCTTTATGGCTGGTTGCTTTGGATTATCAACAATTTTATGGCCAGTTCGGAAGAAGGGTTCCAATCAGAAATAAATGTAGACATTATCTTTTCTCTGATCCAAGAAGTCAATTTAATTATCTCAGCAAGTTCTATCATCTCCATTGTGGACAGTGTCTAATTTTTCCATGTTTGTTTGTTTGTCCATCAATCTCCAAAGAAAATCATCCGGTCTCAATTGTATATTAATATTTAAAATCCTCTGAATCAGTTTGTGTAAATCCAGAATTTTCTAGCTTTTTTTCAAGTTCATCAAATGTGATAAAATATTCTTTCTTGTGGTTCACATTTGCAGTATAAAATTGAAGATACTTTATACATTCTAGACAATTTTTCTGGTGACATATACCAACAGCACATCATTTTATAAAAATTATGCTTAAGATTATAACATAGTGTAAATTTAAATTCAACCACATATTTAACCATTGTTCAATCTGCGTAATATCTCTACTTTAGAAATCTTAGTAGTAATGTTCTTTGAAATCAAACTTATGTCTGTATTTGAA